CAATTTTCTTCTCCCTGTGATGTAAACGGTGGTAACTTATTTTGATGCAAGTTATTACCAGGTTATATATTGGCTATGATCGATAATAGGGCGAAACAATTCAGTTTGGTTGTACAGCATAAAACTAATTACAATTGTAGTTAGTTATACCTAGTATGGCAGTTAATCAATACAATATTGTGTTTATATTTTCCAGTGTAACATTATTTCAGGTCAATATGTTTTGTATCAATTGAGTGTGAATTTCGTTTAGCATGACGAATGAACTTTTTCCATCCAGTGTGAATTTTTCGCATTATTCTTTGTAAACTTCGTATGTGTATCTTTACAGTGATGTGATTTCTAATAACTAATCATTGAATGTGTGCAGAACCAGTATGTAAATGAGTAATAAACCTTCATTGTGTTCTCACTTCGCAGCGTGGGAATTACAGTGGCTTCTGTTTCCAAATATAAGCAGTAGGACAGAGTATATTATAACGGATAAATAACTTTGTTTCCCATTATATCAAGCAACCTCGTAAATCTTTAGGCTGATTTAAATGGTAAATTTTTAAACATGCTTACAATCTATGCATATACCATAAGGCAATTCCATCATATTTGGTTAGTACTCTACCAAGACCGTGATTGATTCTAGACCACAGATAGTCATTAAATGACAGGGAAAAATACAACCAAAATTTATATTTGATAGTTCTAAGCCGGTCATGCGAATACTTTATCAAATACAAAAATGACGTAAACCTAGCTACGTTTGAAACAACCTATAGAAGTTAAATAAGTGACATGAACAATTGTATTATTCAACAAGTAGATCTACTTCAAATTCCGCATGATCAACCTGAAAGCTATGTCACCTCTAAAGCGGTGGCTTCGAGTTTAAAGCAAGTGGTTCATAACCATTAAATTTTAGGATCTGACCTTGATCCACCGACATAAATTTAAGCAGCCGGATAGTATCAATAACCCCTACATAAACTGTGGCATAAAACTGAGGATATAGACCTGTACTTAGTAAATAAGTTAAGAATGCTTAACTTGTAGACCACTGAAACATCATCCAAAGGTGTTAATATCCAAATTCAATCAATCCATTATCTAACGCAACGCTTTATCCATTGTTTGAATAAATTCTAGAAAACCAGAGAATATTTAATATGGTTTTGTTCCAGTTTGAAATATCATTGTTAGCTATCTAGTGTGTTATAACTTTGAGCAGCTTTTTTTAGTTTATATCAACGCCTACATAATGTAACAGCTGAATTTATGAATCAATTGAAGCCATATCACTATGGAAAACCTGGAAGCACAGAACGGCCGTTTCGTCCTATTGTGAGACTCTTCAGCAGTGAATATAATTTACTTAATTCAGTCGTTATCAATTAGAAAATCACTGAAAAAACAACAAGATTTCAATCAAATGTTTCAATGTTATTACTTTTGGGGTTATAATGATTGTGTTAATTGTATGTCTTTACCTAATCAATCATTGAAAACAGAAAACAATGGATAGATATTTTATCAAAGTTGTCTCCACAACTTCTGTGTTTGAAGGATACTTTGACGATCCTGTACCTATGAAATTTTCATTCTATATTTTCTGCAATTTTTGGAGAGCATTAGTGCAACTCCTTGTGTGGGAGACATTTCATTCTTGATGACCAGAGTACAGTGGGACTTCTCCTGAAGCTAATCTCTCCTGTCTAGCTTGGGTCCAACGGGTTTGACTTATTCCAAGTACCACCAAGATCTCATTTCCACATCTATTTGGTTAGTCCTCCCAGTCTCCTACACTGTCCGTACATTCAACTTACCTGTATTAATTACTTCTCTGGTTGTTAGAACACATATACAATATTATACAATTAATGGTGTATAACCAAAAAATATAACTAATGTAATTCTTCTACCATAGGATGTGATTACATGTCATAGATGGCTGGGAAAAAAAGCCGATTTCGTGGGTCACTGACAGTCTAGTCAATTAAATCCTTTCTCAGCAGATCAGTACTACCTGGTGTCATATTGTCTATTTTAAGTTGCTAGATAGAAGAGTGAACCAATCATGACTCCAAGAACCAAGTTATAGATCATTATTATTATATATGTTCTTCGTATATAATTAATAAATTGCTAGATTATGTTTATGTATTCCGTTTATCATAAGCTTCCGGTTAACCCATGAACTTCTATTCCTAATTTGTTCCCAGTCTTTTGCTCATAGTCTCCCCTATTCACAAACACTTTAGGCTTGCTTATGTATGATTGTTATTTTTAATTTTGTGTGATACGGCCGATGTGTCTGTAAATAAACCGTTTGCTTGAAATGTAGATGTAGTAAACTCTGGTTGCTGACTTTTGGACTCAAGTAAGGGGATAAAGCGAAGTTTGCTGATAACGGACCAATAGGAACTTAGCTGGGTCCGTTGAAGTTTAGTGGTGCTGGTCAGGTGTGTAAGTACCCTATTCATGGACACTAGGCTATAGAGAAAATAGTAGATGCGAAATGGACAAAAATTAAGATTTTGACTGGTGACTTGGGGTGTGATATTAGTGCAACTTATTTATTTATTTATTTGAACACATAAATATTGGTACAAGAGGGCACTAAATATATATGCGCCACACAAAATATTGAGAATTCGAAGAGAGAAAAAAAGAACATTAACGAACAGATTAGTGTAAGGAAGTGTAATAATAATAATAATAATAATAATAATAATAATAATAATAATAATAATAATAATAATAATAATAATGAGGGAAACGGAAAGGTACAACCAGAAGAATTCTTTCAGTTAAGGAAGAAACAACCATTTTTTATGAAGAAAGTAAAAGAAGGTTACAGCAGGATCGCCACTGGCTTTTATTCTGAGCCATATCTGATAACGCCTCTAGCCAATGTATTGCGACTACCTCATTCTAAAGTTAATCTCTAAATGAATTACTTTGCAAGTACATTTTCGACTCACGGATACTTTGTTGCAATCTGTCCGTGAAGTACAATCAACACCATCATTTGTTCGCTACATCGATGAACACCTCTTCTCTGAAATTGTTTGAAAATAATTACCTGTGACTATGTCCAAATCCACCAATTAATTTATAGAGATATTAAATACTTGACCATTATTATTATTGAACATACTTACCGGACTTCTCTTCTTGCAGGTATTTTATTTCCACAATCCCAAGTTAATTCGATCAATTTGCATGAAACCTACGCAAATCAGTAGTTCATAAAATAACTTGGGATATGTATAACTGCAGATTTATCATAATATTTTACTATTTTTTCCGTGGTTTCTGTTTTTGTTTTCTTGTTGATGATTAAGACTATTCCGTAAGGGAACTAGAATTGACTGTCGATACAATATTCATACTTCAACAGGATATGTCTCAGTCCTCCCAACAGCTGCTTTACATTATTATAATTCTCGTCATAAATGTTCTTTCAAAACAATTTATTACAATATTTTCAGAACCAATTTAATCCTAAATAAGTATACCTTACAAGCAACATTGCTACTTATATCAACCTGATCGCATTTTCAAATTAAGATGCATTCTGTAATTATTTCCAGAGTATAACTTATCTACCTCATTTATCTAGGTAAGCTAATGAATGTGTGAGCTAATTAAATGTAAACTTTCTACCCACCATCTCAAATTCTACCATACATCTCATGTAACGATTTAGCAGAAAACTTAAGGTTTCATCAGAGAAATCCTTTTTTTTTGTAATGATTGAATACTTTTTGTTAGGATAGTCGGAAAAATATACCAATAATTATCGTGTTAAGTCTGTGGTGGCCTTGGACCTTAAATGTACATTTCTTATTGGTTGATGTTTATTTCACTTGTTAAATATTTTGTAAATGTTGTTCTCTATTTTATGGTACGATGTGGTTTGTTTGTTTGGTATATAAATAGAGTATGTCTGAAATACAATGATTCATATCTCAGAGGCTGTGACTTGTGTTCTAGACTCAACTGGCTGGGACAGACAGCGAAGCAGGGCCAATCAGGGCACTAGGTCGTCCATACGTGTTTTCCGTGTTACTGCGATCGATCGATATAAACGCTGCTTACCAAAACCTGCAGTCGCACACGTTACAACACTTTTAAAATCAAACCAAGAAAGAAAATAAAGGGAAGAGGTTATTCGACCAACTGACTTCACTTCTAATTCCAATCCATAAAAAGAATATAATTGAAATGACATTTTATTGGGATTGGTTATTTCACATGTTTAGACGTGAGATTTACATTGGATAAATCAAAGCTCATCCGAATGTTACTCGTGTATGCAGTTTAAAAATTATATCTTAATTACTACATGTTGGTGATTTCACTACAAAGTCTTTTTATAAGTGCTTTATTTTAACTGTATGAGGGATAAGTTATCGTGTTAAATCAATTCAATCTGCACACATACTTTAATTTGTTTTTGGAAAAACTAGATACGGGTAATTTATTAAGGAATACCCACTATTACGTTTTAGGTCTCATTTAAGTATGTTCTATAAAAAAAGAACACAGCAATGATGGCTCGCTTATTTACCAGTAAATACACATTAATTGAGGTAAAATATATTTGGTATGTATAGAAATTGTGTATATAAGTTGATTATGACCAGATAATCCTTTTACTTAATAATATTGTTATACCCATCTAAAATTACAAAGTTCATTTATTCTATTCCCATTTTATTGTTAGTGATTAAAATCTCATTGTTATTTCACGTTAACTATAGTACTTTACTCAACTACATTAAATGATTACATTGTAATCAAAAATAATGCTTTAATAATTTTCTACCTTTAATCTCTTATTATTATTATTACCATTTTTATTCAAGCTGATGCTCTATGTATTTTTATTCCAAAGTGTTTATTGAAGCAAACTTGACGGATTCCACTACTTTTTAACATTTACAAATACACATAGTTCGTTACATAAATACAGTTTATACTGAAATTTCACTCATTTATCAGGTACAGATTAGTGTATTTGCCGTCGGGGCACATAGTCTGTGTAAGGGCTAGTGATACTACACGATTCCTTAAACCAAAGTGGAGCAGTGCTTGAGCCTTGGATTTATTGCCTGGGAGCTGAACCCCTTAACGACAAAGACACTGCTCCCCCACTCATACTTTTGATAGCGATTAAAAATAACGTATTAATTTCTAAAAAAAAGGAAAAACAATTAGGGAAATATAAGATCATGTAGATAGATATTCCCAGTTAATGCGATTCACAAAATCCATTTTAAAAAAATTTGAAGCATAACAAAGCAATAATCACTATATTTTCTTTGAATTCTTCTCATTATTGAGAGATAAATATCTGATAAGATTAAAGTTAAACCATTGAAAATTGTGGGAAATGATTTTTTAAACTGAATCTGAAAATACCTTTGATTCAATAGTTTTCAATCAAATGTAATATCTATTATACAAATAAAAAAGAAAATACTCCATATGAGGAACGGCGAAAGACAGGTATTGTGTGTACATAAAAGGTTAGTAATGTTGTTTTCTTCACAGAAATACGGGAAAAAAAATTGAACAATCACTGAACCTGAATAATATGTATGATGAAATGTACATAGTGTGAGCATTATTTTGATCGAATATTTAATTCAGGAAGAAATGAAGTAGATACATTTGGAATTTCATCGTATGTAATATGATTCATTAACTATCTTCATCCATTTGAGTCTATTGTAAAAACAGTAGTATTAAAGAAAAAAGTGATATTCAACTGCTGTAAACCGTTGACAAATATTCATAATATATAAAATTCAGAAAACTATTGGAAAACAATATGATTACACATCGAAAGCTAAACCATTTGATAAAATTTCGAGGAATCTTACTTGTTAGATTCAAAAGACACGAATTGTTTATTTAAAAGGATCAGTTAATAGATATAATGTTGATCTGTACATAATGAAATGAAATAGAAAAGCCTAACAAGAATAAGATCGTTATCTTTTTTTAAACAGCTACTTATCATTATTATATGAAAAGATTGGTGTTCTCCAACCATTGATATTCAGAATTGCATTTGATTATTATTTGGTGAAACATTTATACTTTGAGCAAATGCTTCGATACTATCGATAGATATAAGTTCTAATTTTTTTGGATTGTGGCTAGTAGTTGGATTAAAAACACGTCTTTCATTAATGTTAACAGTGAAACTTATATTCAGTAACTATCGCTTTATATTCCACAAACTGATGTAATCTCATCTTAATTTAGATAGTTGAATCCAAAAACGTGAGCCTATTTTCCAGTAGAGGGAAGTCATAGTCTGGGTGAACACATAGATACCACGTATGTGCTTACACGAGTTCTCAAAGTCAAATGTTAGATGAGAGATAATAAACAAGGTGAAATACTGCATGAAGTCAATTATTCGTCTTTTTAAGGTCTTAGACCAACGTAACACAAACATACTAAAATATGTAACTACAGTTAGTATTGTGGTATTCTAACAGCGTGTGCACATTCCAATAAAGTCAGATCAAACGGAGTTCGGGAAAATACAAAATAACGGGTAAATGCCATGTGGCTATTTGAACTCAGTTACTTAGTGGGTATATCTTTGGTATTCGAAGTGATAATTAATAGGTTCGAATCCCGATACTAACACAACACTAGAATCCACGTACATACAACCAACTGGTCCTAAATAGGATGAAACGGACCTTTTGAATCTCAGTGCTAGCCGCAATTTCAAAATATAGTATGACTGACTGTAATGTTAATCAAGGAAAAACCATGTACTATGACAAAAGTAGATAGGACTTTATAAGTAGATTGATACTAGCTAAAATGACCAATAGGATGCACTAAGCAGACCAATATGGTCGGTAATAAAAACCCACTAATCAGTGGATACAGTTTCTATCATGAAAAGGATGAATAGAAACTGGAAAGGATTTGCCAGGACACAGTTAGATGAAGAATGCTGGTGAGCGGCCTATGCTCCACTATGGGGGGTAACAGAAGTAAGTATTACATCAGTTTTTCTATTGCTTTTTTATACGAGAGAATGATAAATGTGCTAACAATATGCAAATGCAGCAACACGCGACATACTGCTGTAACGTACAAATTAGGTGAGCTTTTTAATCATATTATAATTCTATAGGGAATCGAAAATTTTATAACTACCATACTCGTTAAACTGAATTAGTGTGACACGGAAAAATTGGTATTACAGCAGCATATAGATCTTATCTTAAATAAGTATCAGTTGTTAAATATTACTCCAACACAACAAAAGCTGGCAAAAGCCTATGGTTTAAAAGTATATAAAAGCCTTGAACCCAGCTTGAGTCGGTATTTAGTCATAATGGTAGGTGCACTTATTTATATCAATCCCTTTTAAAAAGATTTGTGTTAGCTACTTATTATCCAACCTGAAACTAAAGAGTCCACTTGGCACCAAAATATCTGTTGGGCGTGCTCTATTGAAAAGATCACCAGACTGATAATAGAATTCATCATTTAATAAATCCGGGCTGCGATTCTTCGACGCGTATTTGGACGTTTCAGAAACATTGCCTCCATACCTGTTTCTCTTGAATCTTGTAGAGGCTCCCAACAGTGAATATTAACAGTAAACCAGTCTATTATTAAAAGACTAATATTTAAACGCAGAATATTCTTTTCGATAAATTCTCTTCAGGTTCTATAGTTGTATATCCAAATTAATAATCTGAAAAATGGCCAGGATAAGAGTAATATGCACCGTTTAAAGCATGTGAATTTAGGATTGTCAAACAGAATAGAATAAAAATTTTCAATAGTTGAAATCATGAGTCGATTGAAGCTAAACCACCATAGAAAACCGGGAAGCACTGGACGGCCGTTTCGTCCTAGTATGGGGTTCCTCAGCAGTGCGCATCCGTGATCCCGCCCCCTGCAAGATTCGAACCCAGGACCTATCAGTCTCGCACGCGAGCGCTTGACTAGTAGACCGCTGGGCCGGCCGGCATCCAACGGTGTTAATGTCTAACTACAACTAATCCACGATATTGCGCCACCGTCTACCATTGGCTTCAGTGAGCTGATATCTCACAACAGAGCTGGTTGAACTCCATTGGTCAGGGCTTCTCACTAAAACTCCAGGAAATGCCTAGCTGCTATTGACTCATGATTTCAACTATTAAAATTACTAAAATCTCCACGAAACCCCTTCTGATAAAATTTTAATCGCTGCGAAATTCCCATTATATTAAAGCACAATTGTATGAACGAAAAATATTCTTTTCAATAATTTCACACAAGGTTCAACAATTATAAATCCAAATTAATGATCCATAAAATTGGCATCCAAAAGAAATATGTTCAACCGCTCCTTTTACCCTGGCTAACTAGTTAATAATCAATTTTATCATATGATGACGTAATTTGATTAATGATCATTTTTATGCCCCAAACTTATTATTATTATCTTTATAAGTGTTATTATTATTATTACACTTGATAACCGTTTTGAAAAATTTATTTAGCATCCACCACTATCTACAATATCTGACCTAATTCATATTGTACTACATATTACGTAATTTCTGACTTTTATTCCATTATTTTCTCAGTCCCCCCATGTTGACCATATTTATTCTGATCATTTATCTCACAATTTCATTTCGCTCGTAAATTGATTCAAGTTAACATTTCATACTAGTTATCCCAACATAACGATTTGATTTTATATAACAAACAAGAATTCTTGATTAACATGTTACAATTTTAAATGATGTACTCTGCCTTAAATCTGGCCAATTTTATGGATTATTAATTTGGATTTATAATTGTAGAACCTGATGAGATATTATTGAAAAGAATATTCTTCATTCATACAATTGTGTTTTATAATAAAATTGTTGGTCGAGTATGAATACAGTGGTGTTGAGTGTTGTTAAAGGTATCAGGGCAGTTATCACCTCCCAGTTGCCAACACAGTGAACGGGTTCTTTTGGAGGTACCTGAAAAGGAGACCGCATTCGAAGTGGTTTTACTGATCTGAGAGCGTGACCGCATTGCCCAAGGGACAACTGCTTGGGGTCGGTCACACACGACCTTTTTATGAGTAATTTTTGTGTTAGCTCCGTACTTGTTGAGACCTTACCGCCGTAGATGGATATCCGTGGGATAAGGCGAGGTGTGCATTTTTAGGGTCGACCTTTTCTAACACCACCCCTCCTTGTGTGAAGGCAGCATCGCTGTCATGCTGGTTGTCTGAAGGAAACACCTTACTGCTGTCACACCTCTGTAAAGTCAGCAGTACGACTTCGCCTTCGGACCTTGGGTTTGTTGCTTTTAGTCTTACCGCTCTTCAACCAACCTGTCTAACATGGTAGGACCTTGAGGGACGGCTGCTCCAGCCAGTATAGCTCGGTTGCTTCATCACGATAGGCAAGACCGACCATCACGTCAAAGTAGTAACAATGGTCGGGAATAAAATTGGTAATATTGACTCGCATAGAATGTTAACTTGAATCAGCTTATATGCTAAGTGAAAATTTAAGATAACAGTAATAATACTAATACTAATACTAATACTAATAATAATAATAATAATAATAATAATAATAATAATAATGGTACAAAGATTTGTACATAGAGATAACAGAGACAATTACATTTGACTATTGTACTTACGACCTTTTTTAGTCAAATGTAATTGTCTCTGTTATCTTTATGCACAAATCTTTGTACCATTATTATTATTATTATTATTATTATTATTATTATTATTATTATTATTATTATTATTAATATTGGTGAAACATCCTTATTAATCTCCCTAATACATGATCCATTTACTTCGCATTCATCCCACTTTATTATTGTCTTACTAATAATTTTTTCACACAATATAGTCTGCCACTAAACATTTGATCGGATTGTAATTGCACTATTATTTCTCTCACCCTATCTGATCCATATTTATTCTGACAATGGATCTTAAATTTTCACTCAACATATAAGCTGATTCAAGTTAACATTCTATAAGTCTTGACAACGTTAACAATTTTATTCTATTCTGTTTGACAATCCTAAATTCACATGCTTTAAACGGTGCATATTACTCTTATCCTGGCCATTTTTCAGATTATTAATTTGGATATACAACTATAGAACCTGAAGAGAATTTATCGAAAAGAATATTCTGCGTTTAAATATTAGTCTTTTAATAATAGACTGGTTTACTGTTAATATTCACTGTTGGGAGCCTCTACAAGATTCAAGAGAAACAGGTATGGAGGCAATGTTTCTGAAACGTCCAAATACGCGTCGAAGAATCGCAGCCCGGATTTATTAAATGATGAATTCTATTATCAGTCTGGTGATCTTTTCAATAGAGCACGCCCAACAGATATTTTGGTGCCAAGTGGACTCTTTAGTTTCAGGTTGGATAATAAGTAGCTAACACAAATCTTTTTAAAAGGGATTGATATAAATAAGTGCACCTACCATTATGACTAAATACCGACTCAAGCTGGGTTCAAGGCTTTTATATACTTTTAAACCATAGGCTTTTGCCATACTTCGTAGAGTGTGCGAAACTCTTAAATGACTGATTTGTGAGTAGACCGGTTTCCGTTTAGGTTACGGATGCGTTGACCACATCTTCATCCTGCACCAAATACTTGAACACGGAAACACTTGTTGGAAATCGAAAATCGTTGTGTTCCTTGATATCACGGCCGTCATCGATTCGATGAAAAGGACTGTAAAGTGTTCGTTGAAGAAAAGTTTGCCTCTGACAGTTATCAAAAGTTTGAAGGCTCTGTACGAAAACCTATTCGTCAAAGGGCATACAATCAGACCCTCTATATTTACTCTTTTTTGTTGTTGTCGCTATTACATTATTTTTACGGTTTTGCTACTTATCTTGTTCGTTTCATCTCATAACGGTAATACAGTATGACACATTGGGGCAACATATATATGTATCAGTTTACAACTAACTGGCTGCTTTTGTGCGACTTGGGCCTTCCCTGTTGATTATGTTTGGGGAATCTGTGTTTAATCATCATTGCTTCTGAAAAATTATTTGTGACCTGTGGCAAAACCGCGTAAATGATCCAAGGTCTGGCAATATGTGTTCGAACGCATGATCTTCGGTGGCTTGAACGAACTTCGTTTCAGCGATTTTCACACCACGCACTATTTGGAGACGGCAGAACTGAACGAAACGTTGTAGAGGGGGTCATTTTATGATAATGAGTCATGATGAGAAAGGTAGCTGTATAAGAATTGCATATACTGGTCTACCGTAATTCCCTAATTAGGTAACTAGGGATCATACAACTCACCGATTTGGAACGTTACCAAACGGCTCAGAAAGAGAACGGTGACAATCAAGTTTTAGTTTTCTATCACACTCTTCATATGAACAAGATAAACCTCCTTATATGTAGAAAAATGGTAATATTTTTAACTGAACCATATCTTTTATTACGTACTATTCTTATTTAACAATTAAATACGATCTTATTCTCTTCTATCGCTTCAAAATGCGATCATTGCATTTTGTTTGAGTTCTTTTGACAGCCTATTATGCCAGTATAAATAAAGAACATATGGCTCTTTATCTGTAGTCAAGGGAATTCGTCGAACCACCAAACGAAATCATATTAATTTAGTATTCACTCTTTGAGGGACTTTCCAACGTATAAAAATTGTCAAGTAACTATCATTTAAAAGCCAAGTTTGATGATAAACTAAAGACGTGATGGATTTGAAGTAGAAAGATACTTAGCTCTAGTATTTACACTTCACAACGCACAAAAACCAACAAGAATATGGAAAATATTAAAATTAGAAAGAAAGGTATGTTATATTGCAGAAATACTTGTCACACAAATAGAATTACCTGAGTATAATGACGATAAGTAGGATGAAAATTGTGAACTGCATCAACAATTATATCTGTAGGATCAATAGTTGCCTTGATACTTGCAGATATACTTGGAATTACACTTGAATTTTTCGTATTCCATGTTCTTTCAAACCCACCATTGTTCACTTGTGGATCAACAATATCCCATGGTAATGGTTCAGCACATATTGTTGATGGTGCATAACTGACAAATGTTGCCGGTGTGAAATGTGATGAATTGTCTTTGACTGAATTAAATACCGTTGAGTCTTTCGATGATTTAAAACCCACAGACGGTTTTGTAGCAAACAGAAATTCATCATTAGACCAGAAAGAGTCGTTTGAAGGTAAGTCAAAAACAAGGCGAGGTGGATGGCTATATATAGAATAGATACATACATAAGTGATATCAATTTATTACAGTAATTAAGAGAACCAATTTAATTCAATCTAATCTGTTGTTGTCGGATCAAGGAGTAAAATAATATTCTGATGTGTAGACGTATTCCTTGATTGAATGTTAATTGTTCAAGCTACATGATCACATAAATTTGGTAGTTTTGGGGAATAACGTCAGTGAATTTTATTAGAATCTTTTAGTAAATTAGATGTAAAAAACGGGTGATAATTAAAAAACCAATGTATTTGGTATGAGTATAAATTAGATTTGAAGAGTTTATACTTTGACAAACAATGTACCTTTTAAAACGATCTTAATAACTATCATTTTTAACTTCGTCTAAACTAATGTAAACTGGTTTACCCTCTAAAAAGGTGTGTATTGTAGTCAGGTTCTCAATGGTGGTTTAGCTTAGATTGACTCGTGAATCCAACTTTCAAAATGTAATTTCGTATGAAATGTGTACATTATTATTATTATCACTATTATGATCAATTTCCTAATTGTTTTTTGATAATTACTATCACTTTCGTTATTTTTCGTATTACGTCATGGTCTCTCCTTCGCTTAATCCGTGCACTTATAAACTGGACTTATATGAATATGGAAAGTATTTATAATTATTTTTTACAAATGAGCCAAATGACTTTATAAGTGTTATCACACGAAAGTGCGCTTGTAAAATGTTCAATTTATTTATACAAATTTAGAGCACACGGATTGTAATAAATTTACTTCATCCCATAAGGTTAGTTATTCTTATTTGGCAAAAGTTTATCACCGAATCCAACCGTAAGAAGTCGAAGTTTGACGACCGGATAAATCAGAAGACAAACGAACACCACCAAAAGTACTTCAAGATTGGGTGTAAGTAGTCAAAGGTTCTTTACCCCGTCTAAATCTTCTTTTTATCTGAGAACTGTTTCGCAAGACGAATTACTTTTTACAAATTTTAACAGCAAATTAATGATTATTAAGAGTCACTTCCAGATACAAAATATATATGCATAGTTTTAATATTCAGTATAAATAAACCTCAAACTTACTGTAACACATAAATACTATAGGGAAATGCATAACGTAGTGCAATTGCAACAATAACCAGTTCAATGCATATTAATAAATTTTTGTAGATACCAGCAATTAACGTTGCTGAATATCCACTTGTCATGTTTATAACATGACTCCATTCTAGAATACTGAATAATACATCTATTAAGTACAGAAAACAAAAACGAAAACTATTTAACATAATCTTAAGAAACCAACTCTTCATTCTTGCTTTAAAAATTATAACTTGAAGGCATAATTTAAATTAGAACTAAGAAGATGGATTTGCTATACAATGTGACATAGCTAAGTCCCAAACTTCATTCTGTTTGTTGTCACAAATCAGAACAGTTAACCAATATTAATTAGCTGGGGTGTATGTTAATCTTTAAGGCATTTAACTTTTAATAATTAGATCACAGACATATTTCACGTCAGCTAGTACAATTGTGTAGCGTTTATAGAAATGTGTGATTTAGAACCTAGGATACAAAAAGGCGTTAATTTACTGAGTTAAATAAATTAAATAAGTAATGACAACCATGACAATTTAGTGAAGACTGAAAATGTAACATCATAAAATATTTGTTACTTACAATAATAAAAAAACATACATTTACAAAATATGTATGCGTAACATTATCTGCTGAATACTTGGTTTACAGTTACAGATGTTTCGTATACTTTTTTATTTCTTTACGTTTTTAATAAGAGATCAGTGATCTTTCATTAGATATAAATTGAAATTATTAAACAGTTTACAATAACATTACTAGATATAAGAATAACTTAACATACCTTGCCAAAAACTAAAAAAGATGATCGATTTAATGGTAGCGAATTTGAGCAATGGTGAGAATGGTTTCAATTGCTCCCGAGTTGCAAAATAAAACAACAATAAACCATAAACAGCAAGAGTTACAGTGGCATTGTTAATCAGGAATAAATACAGATAGCCTGATGTAGGACTGAAAGTAATAAAGTAGAAATATGTACACGTATATCATAATCTGTGTTTTCGAACTAATTATTTAGAAGAATACAAAGTCCGTGAGGGAAAATCACACGGTCAACCTTTATTACTTGGTGGGAATAAATAAGTAACTAAATAATTGCCGAGATGTAAGTGTTACAGAAATCAATTTACATTATTTGAAAGCTGAAACAACTTCAGAGGATGAATTATAGAGACTGGATTTGAACCTTAAAACTAATAATTGTGGATCGTGATGGCATGTTTTTTTATAAATAATAGGTTTTTAATTGCAACATTCACAAAATAACTTTGAAAAAGAAATTGTTATGGTAGAATTTGACAGAATATATACGAATGAAATAACAGTACTAATACAAAATATTCTGTTTGTAACACGGAGACAACACAATGAGGTATTTATTCTGAGGAAACAAAATTAACTGTCATAAAACTGAAAACGGGACACTTAAGTTAAAGGCATGACTAGCAATACAGTATTTGTAATATATGAAGATTTGACACAAAATTCTGCGATTGTGACAAAACAATCACACCGTACTATGTACTGATCCATTCTCATAACTATTATTACTAGAAAATTACTAAGACAAAAATAGCATAACTACATCTATTAAGTTATTATTGGTGAATTCTACAACGGCGAGTGATAACAGGAAGGCTCAAATGTTTAAAAAAGATAACAGTGTGAACTGAGTCTGTCTTTAACAAACTAAACTGAAATAACTACCATATCCACCAGCTTGAGAAAGTTCATACTTTATTGAAGAATAAGACGAATCCACTAAATATTAACACTCGTTGATAGACATGCTTTACCAGTGCCTTGTACTATGTACCATGATACTACATCACTTACTATTAGGTGATTGAATATTATTTAGTTGGAGTTTCTTCACTTACCCAAAGTCACCAACGATATACTTCTTTGTAGCCATTAGTATCATAGACGTGAATGAAGTAATTGGTTTGATCAAAGTATACTGAAGAGTAGCCTTCAAATAAAAATTTCAGAATAAAAACAAATATACAATATATACAAGCATATATCTGGATAGCACAGCCTCACAAAAAAATGTGAATTCATAAACAAAACAAACTCCAGTTTATGAAATAAATAAATTATTTAATTATATCATAAACTTAATACTGTTATTTACCTTCCCAAGATAATACACTAAATAGGACTTTACGATCAAGATATTGCAATATTTTTCCAGCTTATTACAACTTGGGGAATTTGTTTAGAATGAAACCATGATGTCCCAATGATTGTAAATAATAAGTTTTGACGTTCTATGATCTAGTGTTAGTCGCATATTCAGAATAAAAATAATTTATACACGTTAATAACCAAAATTTTTATTGATATGGTTCTAACAATGATAATATTGTTACTACAAACCAGATGAGATAGTGCAAAATTTAAGTGCATAAGTGTAATATAGAGGACAAACAATTACTGAATGATACTTCAGCAAAATTTTCATATAAATAATTTTTAATATTTTCCAACAACCAAGCCTTTAAACCACAAGGATACCAGAAGGAATTCAATGTTAGAAGGTAAATTGTCTAGTTAAATACCTAATTCCTAACATTTCGATAAATATTGCGTCTGCATTGGAGTTTTAAGCGACTCGATAGTGTCGCAAAAAGTGGGAGTTAAACTAACATCATACTGGCATAGATTTAAAACTAACGAAAATATTCATACAACATTTCGTTGCACGATGACCAAAAACATGGAAATAGTCAACGTATATATGAGATATCTACACAAACAAACCTACAGACTCCCAACTAGAGCTGTATTTCTTGACCATAAGACAGCGTTCGGTTCCGAAGACCGAGAGTTCTTGTGGCAGTATTTGTCACTGAAAGGCTTACTAAACAGATACATCAACCTTCAACAGGCTCTCTACTCGAATACCAGGAGTCAGACTAGAGCTTGTGACTAAATGATTTTCGAAATGTTAACGCTAAGTAGTTTCCCTTAGGGTTGACAATTGTTTCCTCCTTTAATTCATTGTCATAGATGTCCTCCAAGAAACAACGGTTTACCTAAACTCTCAGGGGTTGAACTCGTACCACGTTACTCACTTTTCGACTTACAATACACAGACGACATAGTCCTGTTTGTGAAGGCACTGACAAGATTCAATCCTCGGATCACCTTGAGCAACAATGCAACCATATTTGAAATGCTTATCCGAACACAAGATGTTGCTTCAGAATTGGTCTGCACCAACACCTAAGGTGATGATGAAGAGTGAAGTAGTTGAGGGCATTGAACACTTCACTTATCTTGGAGGTTTCATTAGCCCCGATGGGTTGGTGCATGGTGAAATATCGACACATTCAGAAAGCTTGGTCAGCTTCTGCCAACTTGCATCACTTGTGAAGTAAACGATACATAGATCTATCAACTAAAGGGCAAGTATACTGGGTAGCAGTTTATCCTGTTTTTTATGACTGAAATGTAGCATTTAACAACAGATATCCTTGTGTTACTAGTATTCGAAGTATTGGTTGTGGATGAAAGAACTACTGAACCAACAATCCTAAAATTAGAAGCGGGGTGCTGTTAACGGGTGGCAAACCGGTTTATCACGTCATGAATCCCTGTCGACGATGCGCAACGAAACCTGATGTAGAAAAATGCTGAAAGCCAAAGATTCCCAAAGCGAAACATGGCATCAGTTCATGTAGTCAGTAACAAATGGATTGAGCCATGTAGGTAAGTGCAGACCACCTGATTGGGGTTCATAAGATTATCGTAACCCGTGTTTGGAGACTTGAAGTGGTATGGATCAGAACCTGGTGACTCAGTTACAATCACTGTCTTTTCTTAAATCCCAAGCCTCGAAACTATTTTATAACTTTTGGATTCCACGATTCCATGTTTTTTTCTCCAATGTCCTTCATGTCTAAACTTTTCTAGTACCCCTAATACCGTTACTATTTGTACCAATCTGGCGTCCAACTGTGCCGATGTGGTGTGGAGAATTGAATTAATTTGAACATGCGTCAGGTTGCGTGAGACATAGAAAATGAATATACGAGGAAACAGTACGTAAATTCATGGACTGAAATGAAGGTAAGTAATGTGTTATATGAAGTAGGGGATAATTATCTGATTATTTAGAATGGTCTGGCAAGGACATCATTTGTAAAAGACGAACTAAATGCACGAAATTTTTGAATAAAGTACACGGTCATTCTCTGTCGTGGCTATCCTGATCAAAATTTGTGGCTATAAAAAGGAAGCCAACAGCTTATGCCAGCCAAACGGATTTCGTGTATAAATTCATTAAATATGTCTATCTACACAAAAGAATGAGGAGTGAGACTTATTTTAAGACATATGAAAGTATAGATAAATACTTTACACAAGAAAACAAAAACCAAAGTAAACGTAACAAGCTTATAGATTAAGGAACATAAAGAGCAAAAGACAGGAACGGACTTAGTATATAGGACTCTAAGAAACTGAGGCCGAAAACTGTGTTGATTCAACAACTATTCAGGCAGTTTTATACCGTCGGCCTAGCATGACATCAAATAAATGGTAAAAATTGACTAAGAATATATTTCCCAATAAATGGCACCTATAACTAAAGATTGGTTCCTCAGGTCTTATATACATAGCATTGCATGAATTTAAACCGTATGAGAAGGCTAGGACGACTTTTTGATAATCTTCCCCTAATTACACACAATTATCACATTATTTTCAGAACTAACCAGAAGAATGGTATGTCATAACACTTACTATTTTGCAAAACCGTAGAAACAATATGGTGTATGGTTTTCCAGCAAAGCAGCATGTACTATAAAGTAAACTGAAACTAAAACGCTCAGTCTAATGATCCTGGTAATTACTTGATCGTTTTTCCAGTAAGCTCTAACATAATATTACCTTCCCCTCCAAGATACTGATAACACAAAGCTAAAAAACTGTAAATCGCAAATGCTGGGGAGTTAGCAAATAGATGAACCAACTACCTTCTGCAATGTCGTGTATAAAGTCGATGTATATACTGTCCACCATCGCATATATAGCAAGCAAAACGCTTAGAAATGAATAGATGGCATATGCGGGCACTAAAATCAACACTCGTATAATGTATCGTTGTTCAGAAACACAGGTGTAATTTCTGAGGTGAAAGTACATCTAAAGCAGTTAAAAGTGAATCAAATGGATTACTTGATGAAATGTAATCACGGATGACAACAGTGCACATAAACAAGCAATTATTTGAGCATATGCAGAAGTAGCAAATAAGTATTTTTCACTGGTTGTTAGATTCGGTAAGATATGTGTTGTGTTCACAAGCTCTGAAGAACTATTATTCATGGTATTCCATATGATTGCTCAGTTCGTCAAGGTCAATCGGGATGTGCTCCAAGGCTATTCAATATAATCCAACATATTTATGACAAGGTTGCTTAAACCAGTTCATTTTCTCCTTTTCATCTTTATGGCAGGAAGATGATGAAAATATTGGTGATTTTATATCAGCCTTAGGCTACGACTAGTTGCCCAAAATAAATCGACTTGTAAGTATACCCACGATCCAATATCTTGGTTACGGGCTTGTATTAACCGACTGATTTCTTCGCTCTTACTTCTCATTGTCTCGGTATGGCTCCAGGCATTTCGTTACTTCCTATGGGTGACAGTCTAGTCACTCTCATGCACTAATTTTAATCAGTCTGGTAATTATCTGTGGATTTGTATATTATGGTGTCATATATTCAGTGATTTTTGTAACAACAAAAATAGAAACCATTTTTTCTTTGTAATTTGTCACACTTTATTTGTAACCACAATTTTATTCAATATCTGTTGTTTTGCTGTATCACTTGTTAAAAAGACGATGATAATTGTTTCGATGAATGATATACACTTCTACTACCGGGTTGTTTAAAATATAGAACACTATCTACGCCGTTGTTCTTCTGTTTTATTGGCCACCGTTTTGATTGAAGACTATAATAGTATTATAACATCATTATAGGCCTTCCGACTCAACGTTGGACTTTTGGCGCGGTTTACTATTGTATAATACTATTGGACTCCGTCTTCCTCATTACGTCTTTGGTGCAGTCACTTGCAGAGGAACACCTGTCAATCAAGTGAACTCAGTTTGTGGTCGTTGTCCTCACGAGGCAGTTAACAAGTAACATTCATTCTATAGTAACTGTTAGCGTCTGTTTGTTTAATATACCTTTTGTATTGCTAACGGTATTTTATTACCTTTGTTTTTACTAACGGACAGACATCTAGGTTTCTTAACCATTAATTTGTTTTGGTATATCATTGTTAACCTAGTGTATCAATATATTTTGTGTAAGCTCCTTTTGTTTGGGGACCACCACAAATTTGGTGAGCCCGTAAAATTTATTTTTTTCTCTCAACTACTTTTGAGTTCACTTACAGACATTACGGCGTTATTTTACCCTTGGTAGTATTTAAATTTTCGTATATTTGTAATGTACTCATCCGAAACTGAAGGCATTAGCCAGGATAACATTTCAGCAGAGCTACACGCTCTAAATTTGATAAATGTGCCCCCATTCAGCCGATTAAATCCTCGCATTTGGTTTGCGCAAGTAGAAGTACAATTTCAGCGTCGCAACATACGCTCACAGGCATCTAAATACTCTTTTGTGCTTGGATTACTACCCACTGAAGTTGCATCTGAGGTGTCAGATTTGATAGATAATATTCCTGCACCTAATCCATATGATCAATTGAAGCAGGCAATTATTCAACGTACCTCATTATCTGATGAAAAGAGATTACAGCAATTACTGCACCATTGTGAGCTAGGCGACAAATCACCGTCTCAATTATTACGACACATGAGACAATTAGCTGGCCCATATAAATTTGATGACGCCTTCCTCAAGGAGATTTGGCTACAACGTTTGCCAACAGTAGTTAGGCAAATTCTTTGTGCCTCTAGCCAAACATCAGATTTAGAGAGTTTTGCTAACATGGCCGATAAAATTTTAGAAGTTACACCCTGTACAACACCTTACGTACAGGCAATATTAGAAACTTCGAACGATAAGCAAACTCCCACCATGGCATCGTTAACTGCTGAGCTAGGCGAACTGCGAGCACATCATGAACGAACTGTCGCTAGTCTTGAAAATAAACTGGATGCACTACAATTATTAATCTCCAATTTCACATCTACAAGACCTCGTTCTTGTTCTCGAGGGAGTAAGAATCGAGATAACTCAAAAGGAAACAAAAACGACGACAACATATGTTGGTACCATAAAAAATATGGTGACAGAGCCAGGAAATGTGTTACGTCTTGTAAATTTTTCAAGTCATTTTCCTCACCAAAACGTGTCAACCAAACCATGGTAGCGACAAATGTTTCTGGTCGTGCGCCTACTCGTCTTTTCCACGTTCTTGATAAAACTTCAGGCTACAAATTCTTAGTAGATACTGGAGCTGAAGTTAGTGTCATCCCAGTTACCTTAGCCAATAAACCTATTGCTAAGAGTGGAAAATATACCCTAAGGGCAGCTAATAAAACCGAAATAAAGACATTTGGTGAACAATTTCTAACATTAGACTTGGGAATTAGACGTAATTTAACCTGGGTGTTTATTATTGCGGATGTCCGTCACCCTATACTAGGTGCAGATTTTCTAAGTTTCTACAACCTACTAGTTGACGTTAAGAGAAGAAAACTTATTGATTCCTGCACGAACCTTCAAATCCAGGGAATTCAGTCGGACTACCACATACATAGTATTAAAATTGACACCCCAGGGAACGACATATTCGCCACCATTCTATCTAAATTTCCCAAAATAACGAAACCAGACTACAGTGAAAACACTGTCCAACATTCTGTAGTACACCGGATCATCACAAAAGGTCAACCAACTTCGGCACGTCCACGCCGATTACCACCAGACAAACTGAATGTTGCAAAAGCTGAGTTTGATCATATGATGCAGCTAGGTATAATACGTCCGTCAAGTAGCCCCTGGGCATCCCCACTCCACATGGTGCCCAAGCGAGACCAAGATTGGCGACCCTGTGGTGATTATAGATCATTGAACAACCTGACATTACCGGATCGCTACCCAATCCCTCATTTACATGATTTTTCTCTCACTTTACATGGCAAGCAAATTTTTTCTAAAATCGATCTTGTGCGAGCGTACCACCAGATACCAGTAGCATCCGAGGACATTGCAAAAACAGCCATCATTACTCCATTTGGTTTGTTTGAATTTCTAAGAATGCCTTTTGGATTAAAGAACGCCGCACAAACATTTCAACGATTTATGGATGAGGTCACTAAAGGCCTAGATTTTGTTTTCGTGTATATTGATGATGTCTTAATAGCTAGCAGTTCGATCCATGAACACGCTGATCACCTACATCAATTATTCGAAAGATTTCAGAAATATGGCATAGTGATTAACCCATCCAAATGTATTTTCGGAGTTGAGAGTTTAGAGTTTTTAGGTCACTTGATCGACAAACGTGGAATTAAACCTTTGGATACAAAAATAGAAGCCATCAAGAATTTTCCAGAACCAGACTCATGGAATAAACTTCGACGTTTCTTGGGGATGATAAATTTTTATCGTCGCTTTATTCCACATTGCTCAGCCATCCTACAACCTTTGACGGAGGTGTTAAAAGGTAAAGTCAAAAAGTTCACATTACCCTCCCAAGCGAAAGATGCCTTTTCTGCAGCTAAAACAGCAATCGCTTCTACTACCATGCTGACCTACTTAAGCCCTGATCCGGAAGCAACACTAATTCTGTGTACAGATGCATCACAGGCAGCAGTAGGTGCAGTACTACAACAGCGAGTTAATAATGAGGTCAAACCACTTGCCTTCTTTTCAAAGAAGCTAGAACCAACCCAAACTCGATATAGCACTTTCGGTAGAGAACTATTGGCTATTTATCTAGCTGTTAAACATTTTAACCATTTACTGCAAGGCAGAGACTTTGTGATACTCACTGATCACAAACCTTTAACCTATGCCTTTAACGCGAAAAGTGACCGTTATTCCCCTAGAGAAATGCGACAATTGGATTATATTTCCCAATTTTCGACCAACATACAGTTTATAAAAGGTGAGTCAAATGTTGTTGCGGATACTTTGTCACGTTTCAACGTCGATGCAATTTCCTTCACCAAAGGAATCGATTTATTAGATATGGCACGTTTGCAGACAGATGATCCTGACCTTGATGCTTGTAAACAAAGTTCGAGCTTGTCCTTAAAAAGTGTTCCTATACCGCATTCTGACTCTACTATCATTTGTGATACTTCTACTGGAACGCACAGACCTTTTGTGCCAATAGTGTACAGAAAAGAGTTTTTGATTGTCTTCACTCACTATCCCATCCAGGGATTCGTGCTACTGTGAAACTGATTGCCGAAAGATTTGTCTGGCCAAAGATGAATGCAAATATAAAACTATGGACCAGGACTTGTGTACAATGTCAACGTAGTAAAATACATAGACATACGATTACAACACCGTCAGCATTTAGTCTACCCGACCATCGTTTTCAACATGTTCATGTTGATTTAGTTGGTCCTCTGCCTCCATCTAATGGATTCACTTACATTTTTACTGCAGTGGACCGTTTCACTAGATGGCCAATGCATGCCCAATAAAAGATATCTCCGCGGAAAATGTTGCTGCTGTATTCCTCGACAGATGGATCGCTAATTTCGGTGTACCTTCTACAGTTACTTCTGACAGAGGTTCACAGTTCCAATCTCACCTCTTCAATGAATTTACCCGCATTTTAGGAATCCATCACATCACTACAACAGCATACCATCCAGCAGCGAATGGACTAGTGGAACGATTCCACAGACAACTAAAAAGCTCATTGATGGTACAGCCTGATGTTTCTAGATGGAGTGAATCTCTACCTCTTATTTTACTAAGCATACGTTCCACAATTAAAGAAGACCTACAATGTACTCCGGCACAGCTCGTCTATGGAGCTAATTTAACCTTACCGGGGCAGCTAGTGACGCATAATGGCAAACCCGTATGTACGGATCCCACTTCTTTTTGCGAAAGACTAATGAGTCATATGAATAACATTAAGCCTGTTGCACCTCGGCCAGTTGTCTTAAAAGAGCAAGTTAGCAAGCATCTAAATACGTGTAAATTTGTATTTGTTCGTGTTGACTCCGTAAGACGCCCTCTACAACATCCTTATGAAGGACCATTTGAAGTAGTTGAGAGGCAAACAAAATATTTCACAATCAATAAGAACGGAAAAAAAGAAACAGTTTCGATCGACAGGATAAAACCTGCTTTTATAGAATCTGAAACACATGACAGCCGAAAGCCGTCTAAAGACAGCGGTGATCACACAACGCAGCTTCCAGTGT